CCCCCTTTCCACCCCAGGTCTCCCTCCCCCCTTTCCACCCACCACCTCCCCCCCCCCCCTTTCCACCCCAGGTCCCCTCCCCCCCCCACTCCAGGTCCCCTTCCCCTTTCCACCCCAGGTCCCCCTCCCTCCTTTCCACCCCAGGTCCCCCTCCCCCTTTCCACCCCAGGTCCCCCTCCCCCTTTCCACTCCAGGTCCCCCTTCCCCTTTCCACCCCCTCCCCCCTTTCCACCCCAGCTCCCCTCCCCCCCTTTCCACCCCAGCTCCCCCCTCCCCTCCCCCCTCCTCAGTTCCCCTCCCACTTCCATCTTCCTCCCCTCGGGACGACGGTTGCTTCCTAAGCTCTCGCGGGCGTGCACTTCGGGATTCTGCCTCAATGATACTCTCTCTCTCTCTCTCTCTCTCTCTCTCTCTCTCTCTCTCTCTCTCTCTCTCTCTCTCTCTCTCTCTCTCTCTCTCTCTCTCTCTCTCTCTCCACACACACACACACACACACACACACACCACACAACACACACAACCACACACACACACACACACACACACACACACACACACACACACACACACACACACACACACACACACACACACAACACACACACACAATACACGCGGGGTAGAGGGTCATGGGGTAGGGGGTTTATGGAGATGAGGGTATAGGGGAGGTGGATGCGTTGCTAAGATTCAATGCTTCGCGGCATTTTCTTATTATTATTGGGCTGTCTTCTATCTCGCCTCTTCTCTCTCTCTCTCTCTCTCTCTCTCTCTCTCACTCTTCTCTCTCCCTCTCTCCCTCTCTCCCTCCCTCCCTCCCCCTCCCTCCCCTCCCTCCCCTCCCCTCCCCTTCCCCTCCCCTCCCCTTCCCCTCCCCTCCCTCCCCTCCCCTCCCCTCCCCCCTTTCCTTTTCCCTTTTCCCGCCCGCCACTCTGTTTCTGTGTGTGTGTGTGTGTGTGTATATATATAATATATATATATATATATATATATATATATGTATGTATGTATATATATTATATATAATTCATCAAGTTGCCGTACTTAATTGAATAATTATCTAGTTATCTATCCCTTGCCTCTCCATCTTTCTTAACTATCTTTCTCCGCACTGCCCGATGCAATAACCGCACGCCTGCAACTCGTACAGAATTAGATTAAGCAAAAAAGCAAATATTAGTCATCGCACCGACGCCGCACATAACGTTTGTTGATTCTACAGCCCGGGGCAAAGCCATACCTCTGAATGCTGCGTCCAGGAATGTGGTCATTATTTTTTCTTTCTTGACTCTTTTTTATTTATTTTTCTCTCTGTCTCTGTCTCTGTCTCTCTCGCTCTGTCTATCTGTCTGTATGTCTGTCTCTTTGTCTGTCTGTCTCTCTGTCTCTGTCTCTGTCTCTGTCTCTCTCTCTCTCTCCTGGATCTCTCCTGGATCTCTCCTGGATCTCTCCCTCTCCCTCTCCCTCCCCATCCCCCTCCCTCCCTCCCTCTCCCTCATCCTCTCTCCCATCCTCTCCCTCTCCTTCCTTCTTTCTTTCCCTTTCATCTTTCTCAGGTAGTGGCTGCATTGACCTGGTTACCTCGGCGCGTTGCAGTTCTGAGCCTCCTCCATAAGCAGAGAGCGTAATCGAAAATCACATATGGAAAAAGCCGTACTGTATTGCCAGCCCCGATAAGGCCATTGTCCAGAGGGGAGGGTGGGGTGGGGAGGAGGGAGGAGGTCGTATAACCAATTATAATCGGACGGGATCCGCGTCATAAAAGAAACAGTCCGAAAATTTACTTGTTTTCTTGCCTCTGACCTTGACTTTGCCTGGTCGCTCTTGAGGTGGTTTGGTTCTCTTTGAAGTTTTACGGATCTGTCACTGTTTCAGGTCGAAGTGGTTATCGAGGAGAAAAAAGGCGAGAAAAATTACTTAAAAATAGTTTTACGTGAATATCCGCTTTGATACAGCGTTTTACAGCGGCGAAATATAAAAATTGAAGCCAGGAGGGCAGGCATGTGGACGAGTTGCCAGCTGGGCTTGGTGTCATGATCCAGGCATTCCTACGCACTGACTCATAACCAGTTAGTTACACACACACACCTGCACGCACACGCTCACGCACATGACCTCGTGAATACCCACACATTTACATGATCCTTTTAAATACTCTTTAAGGTCGCTCTCGGTTGGTCAAACACTCTTTCGAAACGCGACCAGACAAACGTAACCCTATCTGCATCCGAAAGCGTGGCTGGGAAGCGTGCCGGAACGTATGACTTTGTGCGTCTCGAATACGCTGTGATGGGTACGTGCCCATGTCCGCTGCCCGTAACCTATCCTACCCTAATATGTGTTGTCCTGGCCTAACATAACATAACGTATCCTATCCTATCCTAACCTAACTGATCAACGTATCTCATCTTATCCTCTCCTGACATAACATAGTAAAACCTATCTCATCGTATCCTATCCTATCCCAGTCTAACATATCCTATCCTGTCTCATCTGATGTGCAAAGATGTCCTATCTTATTTATATTCCATCCTAACCTGACCTTTCATATCCTGTCTTCTCATAACCCAACATACCTTATCCGAAGCCAGCATATCCTATCTTATTCTAACCCATCTAACCTTAACCTATCCCACATAACGTAACTTACCCCAAACCAGCGCATCCTAGCTTATCTTACCTTAACCTATCCTATCCTAATCTAACCTAACTTATCCTCAACCAGCACATAATATCTTCCTATCTTACCTTAACCTATCCTAACCTAATCTAACCTAACATATCCTTAACCAGCCCATAATATCTTCCTATTTTATCCTAACCTATCTTACCTTAACCTATCCCATGCTGACCTACCTCAACAAAACGGGGAACACCTGGATTTGTCATCAGCTCGAAAATGGTAGAATTATCCGTAAAAAAAAGGTGTGTCCCCTTTTTATGGTCCGTTATCGGTAGGGCCATGCAGCGGTCCATATGTAGGGAGAGAGTGATACGAAACTGAAAGAGAGAGAGAGAGAGAGAGAGAGAGAGAGAGGGGGGGGGGTGTTTGTATAGTTCCAGAGAGTCTAAAGAAGAAAAATACACATCTTTCTATTTATATTGGGTAGATTCTTCTAACACAAGAGGCCCATACAAAACTCTTAAACTCAGTGGAAAAAAACACTCGTTCTGCATCTCTTTTTTATCGATTTAGAATTTATGTTGATTTCGTTAAAGATATGAGGGGGCTGGGGGGGGGGGGCTTTATCATAGAAGTAAGGGCGTGGAAGCAGAGACCAATAGGGGACGTGGTGGTAAAAGAGGGTTAAAATGTACTGGATTAGGGCTTAAACTGTCGCATTTTAAAAACGTGATTTGAGGAAAAACGTTTTGGATCTAACTGCTGCAACGTTTAGGATTAACGTTGGGTTCATTACGTTGTGGATTCAGGCTTGTTGTGTCATTACGAAAGTCTATCGCTGTTATTGAACGGCGGTTTTATGTTGATATTTTGCCTTAATTAGTTTTAGTTTATTTTCCTTGGCGAAAACAGAATCATACAAAACGTTTTCGCTATAGCAGACTTTCTCTTTTTGACGTAATTTTATAAACGTTATAAAATACAGCACGCTTTCGAGAATGTTAAAGTATGGATAATCCAACAAATAAAGGTTGTTTTCTCTCTCTCTCTCTCTCTCTCTCTCTCTCTCTCTCTCTCTCTCTCTTCTCTCTCTCTCTCTCTCTCTCTCTCTCTCTCTCTCTCCTCTCTCTCTCTCTCCCTCCCTCCTCCCATCCCATCCCATCCTCCATTTTCCGGATCACTTTTCCACTCACCTATTTTTTTCATAGATATTTTCCTCATAAAAGTTTCATTCCGTTTGTATCGTTCTGTGAAGTGTCGCGCCCTTCGCGGAGATAACATTAACTTGCGTGTTATTCATTGATAAGATAAGGAATGGGGGGAGGGGGTAAATATTTCAAGTGTGACGCAACAGAACTTTACTGAACGAGGATTATATATACATTATACATTCCGTTTGTATATATATATATATATATATATATATATATATGTATATATATATGTATATTATATATATGTATATATATATATATATATATATATATATATATATATATATATATATATATATATATATATATATATATATATTATGTATATATGTATATATATATATATATATATATATATATATATATATATATATATATATATATATATATATATATATGTATATATACATACATATATATGTATACTTATATGTATATAATATATATATATATATATATATATATATATATATATATATATATACATACATACATATATGTATATATGCATATATGCATATATATATATATATATATATATATATATATATATATATATTATACATATTTATATATATACATATATATGTGTGTATATGTATATACACATTCACATATATATTTTATATGTATGTATGTATGTACAGACACAGAGGGAAAGAGGGAGGGAAGAAGAGAAAAGAGGGGGAGGAACAGACAGACAAGCAGACAGACATGAAGCCAGACAAAAAAAAAAAAAAAAAAAAAAAAACAATGAATGAGCGAATGAAATATCATTGCCAGAGGTCAGGCCGCGGTGACCCTGACGAGGTCTGGGACACGAATCTTTCCCCCTCGGAAGGGAAAACAGCGGCGCATAAGACCGAGAAAGAGCAGGGCGCGGGTCCTTCCGGTGGGCGGCGCTGATACTGATACGCGAAGAGGCGTCATCCCGCGCGGCCCGAACCGCGCTTCTGGAACGCGAGTGTGGTCACGCGTGCGTTGGGCGGGCCGAGGGGGCACACCGCGCCAGGCGTCGAAACACGTGTGTATTTCTCCCCCCCCCCCCCCACCCACCCACCCACGCCCCGCAGAATGGGTCGGGGGGGGGGGGGTGGCAACGGCAGAATGAAGCCGCAGACAGTTATGATGTTTTGTCACTCTAACAGCCCCGTTCTCTCCTACAGACCGTGAGCATGGGCTGGTAACAACAGTATGGTCTCAGGGACTGTGGTGAGCGCCGGCACGGTCTCTCCTCACCACAAGTATGTGGCGGTCACGCTCATCACGCACGAAACGCTCACTTTCGCCGTTGAG